AAGGTACAATTCCCAATGAGAAATGTAATTGTGTTGTATACCTACAATGTACCAATCAAATAATTTAATGCCAAAAAAAAATGTCCCTTCCTTGAAGGGGGACTCCTGGGGGCCAGCAATAACCACATGAAAATAATGGGCGTTGCTCTCATTTGGTTCTGCTTTAATGTCAGGAACTGGTTCTACTAACAAACAGTGAGTTTCCTTGATGATCCTGCGGGGCATCCTGGCCATCTTGTCAGATCCTGAGTCTGGCCTCTGGTTGACTTTACATAAAATTAATTCAAGAATGATCATAGATATATAAATATGAGAATTTTTTAAAATATGAGAATTTAAAAACTAAACATGGAGTCAAATCTTCATCATCTTTACCGGGTGTGGTGCCGCATGCCTGTAATCTCAGCACTCTGGAAGCTGAGGAGGAATTCCTCAGGAGGAATTCCTCAGGAGGAATATTGCCAGTTCAAGGCCAGCCTGGGCTACAAGTGAGGTCAAGGCCAGCCTGAATTACATAGCGAGACCCTGAAACAAGGAAACAAACACACACATAAACAGTTCATTATCTTAGAGTTAGGGAACAAGGTCTTAAATATTGCACCATAGCATGACTCATAAAAGGAGAAAATGACACATTAGACTTACTCAGAATGAAAGACATGTGCTTCAAGAAAGAATGAAAAGCCAAGCTACAGGTGGGTAGAAAATACTTGTAAATCACCTATCCAATGAAAGACTTATATGGAAAATGCATAAAGAACTCTCAAAATTCCTTGACTAAGAAATAAAAAACACAATGTTTTAAGATCCAAAAAAGATGTCAATAGACACTTCACCAAAGTAGACATTACAAAATGATAAAAGAATCCATCCTGTGTGTGCACCTAAAAGTAGGTCCTCAAAATACATGAAACAAAGTGAAGCAGGACAAAAGGAGAAATAGCCAAATCTTTCATTCTATTTGGAGGCTTTAGCACTCACTTCTGACTGAATGACAATAAACAGAATGTTTACAAGTGCAGAAGGACACAAAGAAAGGACATTGTTAGCTTACATGAGGATACACGTTATTTTCAAGTGTATGTAGAATATTCACCAAAGTGGGACATAAAATGTCTCTTAGAATATTAAAGGAGTTGGAATCATACAAAGTACAGCCATGGTTTGAATGCATCATCAAAGAGCATGTGCTATAAACTTAATCTCTAGTGCAGCAGTGTTGGGAAGTGGGGCGTAAAGGCAGATGCCTAGGTCACGAGGGTTTCATCCTCATGAATGGATTGATGTCCACTATAAAAGGTCTGCAGGCTGCGCGTTTGGTCACTTGGTCTCTCTTGTCCAGTTCTTGCTCTTCTGCCATGGAATGAGGCAGCAAGAAGGCCATGGCCAGATGCTGGGGCCTTGATTGTGGATTTCCTGGCCTCCAGAACTGTGAGCGAATACATTTCTGTTCATTACAAATTAGTCTGCAGCAGCACAAATGGACTAAGACAGTGTGTCCTCCAGCCTTAATGGAATTAAACTAACCAGTATAACAAGAGATATCTCCCCAAATCATATAATAATTTTTTTTACCAACCTAGCTTTCAGAAAAAATTATTCAGGAAAATTAAACATTTTTTCAATTTAATGAAAATAAAAACACAACGTGTCAGAATTTATCGTATTCAGCCAAAGCCACACTTAAAGGGAAATTTATGTCATTGCATGCTTATACTAGAAAGAAAGGAAAAATTCAAATCAATAATATAAGCTTCCACTTTAACAAACTACATAAAGAAAACTAAAATATATCCAGGGTGAGGCAACATCAATTTCAGCAGAAATTAATGACATTAAAATTAGAAAAAAATGAATAATAGCAGTGAAACTTAAAACTTGTTCTTTGAAAAGATCAGAGAACCTGAAATACCCAACGTCATCCTGAAAGATTTTAAAAAGAGAGTTACTGAGAAGCAATGGCTTAGAACCTAGATAAAAGTGTAGGAAACTGTACATGAAGAGCAAGGGCTACATGGCACAGGAGTTTGAGAAAGGGCAAAAATGAAAAAGCATACAATATAAACTTAAATCAACACATATTGCATGATCTAGTAGTAATATTGTAGACAGCTGAGTTGGGTAGGAATATCAGAGGCGGTCAGACAGGGCTGGGTCCTCCAGAGTCAGGACACAGGTGAAACACAGCACAGCAGCCACCGGAGATGCCTTGGCTGAAAACCAGGCCTCAG